CGATGTTTTTTTTCTTTTTTTTTCTTTTTTTTTTGTTTCGCATTCGTTCCCGCAGATATTTTATTTTTCAACCGGTTCGCAGAGATATTGACACGAGTGTCAACGATAAAAACTGATCGACACCGCGTCCACTTCCGCCGATGATTGATAGCAAGGTGTTCCACGTGCACTTTTTTTTTTTTTTTTCCTATTTTAATTTAATCTTCTTCCTTTTTTTTTTTTTTCCTCTCCCCCCGAACACTCGGTAAGCTACAATCGGTGGATGTATTTCATTAACTCGAGGACGTAGAGAATAGAAAATAGAATTAAAGATATATATTGTTATGTCGTGGAAAATACTCGACTTTCGTGAATTTTTTTTTTTTTTAGTTATCCGAATTCTCTATCATATCTTATCTATATTTGATTGGACGTAACATATATGTCAAGTATACGTTTTATAAGAGGGTATATTGCGAAAATGAAAGAAGTGACATCATCAATCGAATCGATAAATATATTCTTATTTTGGAATTTTTCGAAAAATCGAAGAAAAAAATCCCTCGAACCGATAAAAAGTATTTCAACATTGAAATCATTGAAAACTGACAGTCCTCCTCCTATAACTTCTCAAAAGAATTATTTCGAGGAACGCATGATGACGTGGCATCGATCCTCCACAGAATTCAAATGACGATTTATTTAAACTGTTCAAATCGCGTGGGCGAATACGATAGAAAACGCGAGGAAAGAGCGCAGCTTTCACTCCTCGTGGCGCAGGCCACGTGGTTTTCCGTGTAATGAACGCTATCGTGTCGCCCGGGGAGGCCGGGTTAATCGGTTGACAAAAGGTTATGTCATTTCACGTTGGCTGCACGCACGCCAGGTACACGCGTGACTTCCTGGTTACACGCTTGCTTTCGCTCGGCTTGTCACTCGATCGAGTTTCCGATCTTAGCGTGAAATCCGATCCACGTTCACTTTTCCAAATATCGGGGGGGGGGGGAAACGAAGGGAGGATTAATGATGGAAACTTCGTTGGACATCGGTGGATGAAAACGATGAAAAGTTGATATATTAGAGATCCACAGGTTGTTGTTGAAAACTTGCTGGAATTTTTATTTAAATTCACTGAATTCGGGAGAAATATTTCGAGGGGAAAGAAATGCCTGACGAAAGAACGGTGATGAATTTTGGAATGAAAATGGACGTGTGAAGAAAATTAAATTTCATATACATATAGAAAAGAGATAAATGGTTAGAGTGATGTGATTGTGTCTGGTGATTGCACGAAAGCAATGTAAAATATGATTCTATTAACACGGGATATATACGGGAATATAGCGTCATAATCTATCAGTCGATTCAATTTTTTCTTCGAAGCAGAAATATTATTTTCGAAAGCAGAAATATGATTTTTATTTGGGATCATTAAAGAGAACCACATAGAAATCTGCCATGTGGCTGAAAAGGAGAGAAACGATCGCCTAGCGTTGA